TTATTAGCATTTAAATTTTTCCCTTTCTTGCTAACTAACCGACTAATTTCACTTTTTAAGCCGCTAAAACTGAAATCGAGACTTTCATCATTTTTGGGAAAAGGCAATTTGTAATTATTTTTCCCTTTCAAAGCAAGTTTTTCGATAATTGGGCCACCCGGATAATTATAACCTAGTAGAATAGCCGACTTATCCAAACATTCACCAATCGCATCGTCAAGAGTTTCTCCAAGTAGAGTAAATTCCAAATGATTATTTAGTTGGTAAATTTGGGTATGACCGCCACTGATAATTAGCGCCAAAGCTGGAAATTCTCATTCTTCTTTTTTGTTTATCAAACTAGCATAAATATGTCCTTCTAAATGATTAACGGGAATAAGGGGTTTGTTTAAGTAGAGAGAAAAGGTTTCGGCAACTATTTTGCCAATTTGTAAGCAAATAATTAGTCCCGGCTTTTCGGTATAAGCAATGTAATTAATTTTCTCAGGAGAAGTTTTGCCTTCGGATAGGGCCATGGAAAGAACTTTTTGAATATTTTTTAGGTGTAATTTAGCGGCTAAACTCGGCATTACTCCTCCATATTTTTGTTGTTCTAGTATTTGGGAAATAGTAATATTACTAATTACTTTTTTATTTTTTAAAATTGCGATGCTGGTTTCATCGCAACTAGTTTCTAGGGCTAGGATTATCATAAATTAATTTAAATTTAGGAAGCATATAAATTTGTTTTTCCCTTGCAAGAAAGAGATAAATGGCGACTACCTTAACTATTTTAATTAATATAGATTTCCTTAATACCATTAAATTTGTAAAGAAGTTGCCATGAAGGCAGAATAAAATTTTAATTGCTCTCTAAATTGATTTCACATATATTTTTCTTTGTTTTTCTTTCATCATTACTATATTAACATGTTAAAAGACATCCGAGAATGGTTGGACAAAAATTATCCTAAAAATGAACCATGCATAAGAGAAACAGATAAAAAGAATGATTACTGGGAAGAAAGTAGAGGATGAAACAATAGAGGAAAAACTAGAATCCAAATAACTAAATTAGATATTAGTGATCAAAATTTAGAAGGTTCTCTGAATCTGAATGATTTTTCTAATTTAACTAAATTCGATTGTTCTTGAAATAAACTTACTAGTTTAAATATTACTAATAATCATCAACTTACTGACTTAGTTTGTTGGGATAATCAACTAAAAGAGATAAGGATGGCTAATGATAATGAAATTTCCGTCCTTAATCTTTCCAATAATAAACTCAATAACTTAGATTATTCATTTTTGAATCCAAATACATTAATTCGTTTACACCTTGATGACAACAACTTTCCTGTTCAGGATCTATCTGCTTTTAGTCACTTGATTAATTTGGAAGATTTGTGAATTGGCAATAGAGAGGAAGAAAAAATCAAGAAAGATATTTATAATCGCTTTTTTGGTTCTCTACAGCCATTGATTAATTTAAATAAATTGAAAAGATTAATTATTAGCAACACTGATTTAAATAGCGGAGTAGAATGTTTGCCTGCTAGTTTAGAAGAAATTTGATATTACACCGGGACCAGACCGAGCAGTAAATTACGAGAAATTAAGTGACAGTTAGATTTATTTGTCAGCAAATCTCGAAAGAGTTGAGAGAGAAAAGGATTTGCATTAGCAGAAATTAAATCTTGAATAGAAACTGGGATAGAGGCAGAAGAAAATGATTTTGCTGATTATTTGAAAAATCAAAGGGGCCTCATTCCCAAGATTGTGACCAATAACTTGAGCAAATTAAGAGCGGAATACAGAGAATATAAAGATCCAAGTTGACAATATATTCATTCTGATTTCACACCTGTATTACAAACTGAATGAAGAGAAAAAGGATTCGATGGTTCACAGACTGAAGAATGAATACATCGGGGAAAGTTAAGGCCCGAAGAAAGCAATTTAGTTAAGTATTTACTAGAAGAAAAGGGAATCATGCCTCAAGAGTCTGATGAAAAACAAATTGCTAAATTTAGAAAGGAATATAATGACCTCCTGGTGTTAAAAGTTCAGGAACACCAAAAACAACGATCCAGTATTATTCAGGAATTAACTAACACAATCCAAACACAAAGAAAAAGAATTATTAATGTTTTTGGCAACTATATATAATTTTACACCAAAATCAAAAATAGGAGTTTTATAAAGACCTTTTATATTTTATAAATAAAATATAATATATGTCATTGAACCTCAAAAGCCTATTTGATTTCCTAAATGGCGTTTTAATTAAATCTTTAATTACTGGATGCTCTTTATCAATTATCACTTTATACTTAGCATTATCTTTGTCTCACTCGTTTATTTCATTACTGTAAAACATATAACCTATTACTTCTCGCCCTCGCTGAATGCCTATGGGTTCACCATCGCTACTTATCTCATCGTGTAAATCTGCCATATTATAGACATAACCCCCAAATCTAAAAATTGCTTTAACTTTATTTATTAACATATATTATTATAATTTTAGCATTTTTTACAATTTTAATACTATTTACTAGGTGATTTTATAGATAAATAATTTACAATTATTGATTATAATAAAATCTAATCTGTAAATGATTAATCTTAAAATTGTAAGTAATCTATAAAACTATTTATATGACAAAGAAATTAATTCGCTGTCCGAAATGTGGTAAAGGTTCTTTTATTAGTCTAAACGAAAAAGAGGAAAAAAGAAAAGTCAGAAAAAAAGACTTTGATAAAATGGTAGAGGCTATGTTTAAAATTCCTCCACCTAAAAATTGAAAAGAAAGAGAGAAAAGATAATTAGTGTAAAAATACTTTATTATGGATATTTGAGAAATAAAAAAGTATAAAAAACAAACAATCCTTATTGGTAATTTTGGTAAAAAAATTCCTTGTGATGGCTGTATTACCCGTGGAGGGTCAGAATTTAAAAACATTTTCCAGCCAAATTTACTTAACACTTACCCAACCCGAAAAAGACCCCGACAGACCTTATACGGATATTGACACATATAGGAGTTATTGTTATAATTGCGCCATAAAAAAACTAGAAAAAGATATTGAAGAGATAAAGGAAAATTGATATTCATTAGAGGGAAAAGATGAAACACCAAAAGAACCCGAGCCTTTACGATGTGCTAGATGTAAAAAATTCCAAAGTGATGATATGGAAAAATTTAAGCGATATGATGAGAGGAATTATTGTATAAGTTGCTTAATTAATATAAATGATGTGCTAAAAATTCATAAAAGAAGTTAAAAGACTATCATTATTGCTTAATTTTAATAGTTAGTGTAAAATTCTATATAATTACCATGTTTTTTTACAACTTTTTCCTGAAAAGGAATCGCTAGAAATGTTAATTAAAACTCACCTAGAATTTACTAAATTTAAAAATCAGGCAATAAATTCCTTGGATTATAATGAAAAGTGTGATGAATACGAGAATGAATGTCGAGCAATCAAAAATCAATTGCAAAGAAAATTAGATAAAGAAACCATGAATAAAATTCGGGTTATCTTAACTAATTGTGAAAAATTAATAGAAAAAGAATTAGAACTAGAATCTAGACTTAAAGATAGATCACTACTAATTGAAAAACGGAAGCAAATTTTGATTTCGCAAACAGTTGATAGAAAAGAGGAGGAAGAATTAGAAAAAGAAGAATCAACGTTAGAGTTACTAAAAAAATTCAGGCGACAAGATTTAATTATCCAAATAGAAAGTCGAATTTTTTCACTTGCTTCTGAAAAGAAGGCTAACAAAGATTTGTTAAGTCAGTTGGTTGGTCAATTAAAAGAAAGGAAGTTATCGAACTACGAAGAAAGGAAAATTATCACCAAATCCAAAGAATTATTAAAAGTTAAAAGTAATTTCCTCAATTTGCGCCAAATAACTGTCAAGGAGTTAAAAAAATGCTATAACAATCTTGCGGGAGCAGATAGGGCTATGGGAGGAATTATCAATTTCATAATTTCTTTAATTCCTAAAACTGAAAAAATAAAAGATTCTTTGCAAAAAAAATTTTCTGATGAACAAATTGATAAATTTAAAGAACTGCTGAAAAATGATAATATAATGATTTGCAAAATTTTCTTTGAAAGAAGGGTCTTTCTGAACTAGTAGTAATAACTCATCATGACAAAATTCATGGGAAAACTTGAGAGGCCGAGTATAAAATCAAAAGAGTTGATGAATTAATTTCTGAAAAAGAAAAAGGAATAAAAAATAGTAATAAATCATAAAAATAGCCATGAGAGCATCAAAAATTACTAAAACAAAAACAAATTTAATCAAAAATATTCAGGAGCGACAAAAAGAAAACAACGGAGCCAAGTTAAGTAAAAAGATTTTGCGGCAAGTAAAATTATATAATTCAATTTACGAAAAAGAGTTAAAAAATATAATTATCAACCAGGAAGAAAAGAAAAAGCTAAATTAGAGACAAAAAAAGAAATTAAAATTCCGCCACAAAAACGCGTTCGCTTCAAAACTAGTCCGCAATTGAAAAAAGAACTAAATCAATAGCATTTTTAACCAAAATAAAATATTGTGCTTGCAAATACGAAAATAATTACCATTTTTGGAACCAAAGAAGTAGGTAAATCAACCTTGTTTTGACAACTAGTTAAATCAAATTATGAAAAAGGCAAAAAAATAATTGCTCCAGTAGTTAACTATGCCGAAAGTTTAATTAAAATTCAGGGCAAATCTTATAAATTAATTGATACACCGTCTTTTATTTTTTCACCCAAAACAGAAATAGAAAGAGGGATTAAAGAACAAGCAGAAAATTTATTAAAAACTAGCGACCTAATCTGCTGAGTAATTGACAAAATAGATGGGGAAGAAATTTTATTAAAAAAATACTTGAAAAAGTTTCCAGTTCCGCAAATTTTAATATTTAATAAATTAGATTTAGCAGACAAAAGTGATTATTATAATTATCAATCTCTCTGACCCCAATACTTTTTAACTATTTCGGCTCGCAAAGGAACTAATATTGATAAGTTAACAAAGCAAATAACTGCTCTTTTGCCCCATTCTCTTAGCGAAAATGCCAAGCAAAAAGAAGAAGAATTAAAGTTACTCATTTTTGGCCCACCTAACTCTGGCAAATCTACCTTGATGAATTATTTGTTAAAAGAAAATCGCTCCCTGGCTACCCCGATTGCCGGCACCACTCAAGAACCAGTAATTAGTAATTGAAATTGGAAAAAAATTGACTTCCAATTAGTTGATACAGCCGGCATTACTAAAGAACAAAAATTAAAAGAAAGCGTGTGAAGAAATTGCGATTTAGCCTGAGCAGTGGTTGATGCTACCTTACCATTGACTAAGCAAATTCTACAAATAGTTAATTTAGGAGAAAAACACGATAAATCACTTATCATAATTATTAACAAATGTGACTTGTTGGAGGAAAAAGAGGAATTGAAAGAAGAAATAAAAAGGCGTTTGAAATCCTTAAGTTATGCACCAATAATTTATATCTCTGCTTTAAAAGGAAATGGAATGAAATCATTGCTAAAAATCTTAGAAAAAATGTTGGAACAAGCCCAAAAAAAACTCTCCAAAAAAGAAATAGCAGAGACAGTAGAAAAAATGCTCCTTAATAATCCACCCAAAAATTTTAAGGGCAATAAATTAAAAATCTATTTTGCTAAACAAGAACCGGGCTTGACTCAAACCTTTATTTTTTTTGTTAATAATCCCCAATGGGCTCATTTTTCTTATCAGCGTTATATTAATAATTACTTGCGAAAAAACCTGGAATTAGAATATTTGCCAATCAAAGTTATTTTTAAAAAAAGTGTTTAAAAAATAAAAAACTGTCTTTGCTTTATTTTTGCTTCTTTCCTTTTTTTAATACTACTAATGTCATCACTAATAACACCCCAATTAGTAAAAGTGGAACAATTATCCTTCAAGGAGAATAGTCGGGTCTGACCGAAGAATTATTGTGGTTATTATTTGTAACTGGACAATTTTCCAATTGAGTTAATAAATTTTCTACGTTTTTTCGCTGGGCTGAATAGTAAATATTACTACTACTGAGGAACTCTAATAACAATTCTTTTACAGTTGCTATTTGGTCTTTGGTTGGCAACTTCAAAACTTCCTTTACTTGGGCAGTTAAAGCAGTTACTTTTTTCTTGGCCTTGGCTTGGTAAATATTCTGCTTAATTTTGGTTTCAGTGGCGACTAACTGGTCGGGGTCTTGAATTTCGCCATTTTTTAATTTTTGCCATTCCGCTCGGTTTTCATTACTCAATTCTTCTTCTTTAATTCCATTGCTATTTAATTTCTCTGCAATTCTTTTCTTCGCCTCTTTGCCATACTCCTGAGGGTTTTCCGTCGCTTTTTCTTTTTGAAATTTTTCTACTTCCTGTTGGTTATCATGATAACCTTTTTCCGTTTCCTGTTTTTCTAAGTTTTTTCAAGCCTGTTCTTTTTCTTCCTTGGTGCCAGTTTGGGCTTTTTTGAGGTCTTCTTTGACTTCCTGAGCGGATTTTTTGTCTTGACGACGGGCTTGGATATCGGCTAATAATCTAGCTTGGAGGTTGGTAATCTGTTGAATATCAGTCAAACCATTTATTTGTTGTGGCCAATTTTGATACTGGGAACTGAGTTCGTTATCAGTTAATTTGGGTTCTTGGTTCAGAGCAGTAGTGATTTCAGTAATAAAATTATCTCTTTTTTGGTTTAATTCCTGTTGTTTGGCTTGTTCTGTTGCTTGTTTCTTTTTTTCTTCGGCCTCTTTTTTCTCTTTTTGTTTTCTTTCTCCCTCTTCCTTTTTTTC